TATATATATATATATGAGATCATTTGGCATTAACATTTATGTGTATATAGAAATGTACATGTGACATGCACTGGTACTGTAAATTGTGGTAAATTGTGTTATAATATATCCCAAAACTTTTGCAACATGTATCTTTTAGTGGTAGCTCTTACATCTACTGTACGTGCAGGCATTTGAACACTAGTTATATGTAACAACTATATTGGTACTGACTTCCTGAATTAGTGTTATATGCGCCCTCTGTCTGCCTGTCCGCTGTTCAGTAAATGTCACTACTGTCCACAAAATGTTCATTATCAAGAAAGGTGAAAAGTAAGAAAACTGAAGGATTGACTTACCTGATCCAAGGTTTTTGCTGCATTGAGAAAGGACAAGTAGCAGGTTGTAAAGTTCTCCAAAATTACATGGTTCTAAATGGTAGACAGATTTAGTAAAGGCAGAAGATTTTTGAGAGCAGGATGCTGAGAGGAGGAGCGGGGAGAATAGGGCAGGACGTGATTTAACTCATTGTCTGAGCTCTATAAAGGAATGCTTTGATGCAGATATCAAGTCACTTCCCATCTTCATTCCATTTCGTGTTATTGAGTGCCTTTATCAATGTTTAGATGTTTAATATCTACATCTCTGTCTAAAACTGCTTTAAGATTTTATCATAAAATGAGACGGAATAGATTGGATCAAACGAGAAATTACATTTTCATGGGATACCACACTGATTTATAAAACCCTAAAAACACATATTACTTAACTTAAACTTAAAAAAGATTAAATCTATTTGGTTGTTATGAGTTAAGAGGAGCGAGTCATTCAAAATTTGCTAAGCCAAGAACCCACAATATGTTGGCCCAAAATTCTTGTAAACTGTGTCCTTCTAATTAGTAAATCATTCAAATGAGCAATTACAACATTTTGAGGGTTATTCACAAAGCTGCCGACCCGAAGTGAAGTGAGCCGAACGCTGTTCGGCTATTCACTTCAGGCTTATACGGCTGATTTCAGCTGTACATCGGTTCAGCCGAACATGCTGAGTATGTTAGGCTGAGCCGAAGTGCAGAAGGAGTTCGACTCAGCCGATCAAACATCTGGATCGACTGAGCCGAACCTCCGGCAGGCTACTTGCTGCCGTTCAGACTATTCTCATAGGGGCGGAACGGCAGTGAGTGAATAGCCCATTGACGCCGAGCGGCATTCGGCTCGGCTATTCTGTTCGGCACTACGGAGGTACTGAGCAGAATAGAAAAACAGTGAAAAAAGTAGAAAGAAAAAGGTTAACAAATGTAACTAAATTATAGATTTTAAAAAATAAATAAAGATTGAAAAGAAGAAAAACATTTTTTATAAAAAGAGAAAAACAATTGGACAGAGCTAGCAGTGACAGCTAGCTCCGCCCAACTGTTTCCTATTGGCCGGGACCTGCTAGAGATCCACTGGGGAGATCGCCACGGAGGTGTACGGCTAGCTTCATGACATCAGAGAGACCCAATAGAAATACAGCTTTTTCAACATCTCACTTCTGAATAACAACTCCTGGTGATTGTGGCTGGACGACTTGATGCCGTCTCTCTCTGTATGACCCCGAGGTCCCAGGTGTGACAAACCAGGGAGGCCGTAGGGCTAGCGGTGGGGCCACCCGCCACCCGCCCTCTCGACTTTCCGGGCATCTCTCCCTCATTTCGCAAACCAACCCTGCATGATCCATCTTCAGTGGGTCCCCTGATGAAGCCAATGGCGAAACGCGTCAGGGCCTATTAAGATAAGCCACGCCCAGGACAATACTTTTTTATACATTAATGTTTCTTTATTTGAAAAATATGTGAATAAGATCATGATATGTATCACCAATTGGATATTGAGAGCTATATACTATCTCAGTGAATATACAAACATATCCTCTGCAGGGATTTGTTTTGATTTATGAATGTAATATTTTTAATAGTATTTAAAACAAATACATTCTGATATTTTTAACATATCTCTCTTGGACGGTCATTTACACCCCTCCAGAAACCCTTATATCCCCCCACTTTTTGTGAAATATATTGAATTTAGGGGCAGAGGTGTAAACTAGGTGCCCATAGGGAGACAGCCCATGATTTAGTAAATGGTATGAATGTATTATATTTTGCATCCTTTAAAAAATGTAAAGAATAAAGATAATGAAAATAAGGGAGAAAAAGTGCTTTTATTAATGTGGCATGCTTGGGGGGAGGATATTCTGGCAGAGACCAGCTAACAGAGAGCAACAGCAGGTGATGGAGGGATGCTGGTCATGGTAGAAATGGCCAGTATACTTTCTTTTGCAGTAGCCACTGTTCATGTTGATTGGTGTGACTCATGGTAACATTGAAGATACCGTGGGTGGCCTATCATTTCTGTGGCATCAGTGATAGACAGTAGGCCACAATGTATCTCAGGATTTGTTCATTTTGATGGACGTTTGTTGAGGATATCCTGGCATGCTTTTTTATGATGATGTCACTTTTCCAGAGAAGTTCACAAAGAGAGTAATACATACAGTAGATGAAAGTGTTTTCCTTCTTGGATAAGCACAATAATAAAGTACACTGTATAATGTAATAAAATATAGCAATGCTACTTGACATGAATGCATCCATTTCATTTCAAATTGCAAGGTATAGAATTAAGGATGAAGTGCATACCAAAGACCATCATTTAACTTGCGCAAAAGTATTATATTGCTTTCAAACTAAAATATAATACAAACATATCATTTTGCAAAATGTTGGATATATTGTAATGAAATATAGTAAAACAGAATGCTACTCCACATGAATGCAACCATTTAATTTCAAATTTCAAAGACCATCATTCAACTTGCACAAAAGTATCATATTGCTTTCAAACTAAAATATAACACAAACATATACATTTGCAGAATGTTGGCAAAATTGTAATGAAATATAGCAATACAGAATGCTACTCGACATGAATGCATCAGTTTCATTTTAAATTGCAAGGCATAAAATGAAGGATGAAGTACATACCAAAGTCCATCATTCAACTTGCACAAAGTATTATATTGCTTTTAAATATATACTGTAATACAAACAAATAATCTTGCAGAATGTTGGATATATTGTAATGAAATATAGCAATACAGAATGCTACTCGATATGAATGCATCCATTTTGTTTCAAATTACAAGATAAAGTATGAAGGAGGAAGTACATACCACAGAGCATCATTAAACAAAGTATTATATTGCTATTAAACTGATATATAATACAAATTTATTAGGCAAATTAAACATATACAAAGAAAAACAAGATACAACCATAAAGGAAACATATTACAATGGTCCCTCTACCAGAGGATAAAGGTTCAGGGTGATAGCCCCTAAACGAGTCTATAAGGCTGTGAGTCAAAAATACTATTACCCTGTTGTGCTAGATAGTAGACTCAATCTGCCTCCCATGATATTAACAAAAGGTAAGTACTCAGCTGGATGCCGATACTGTACCAAGGACCTGTCCACACCTTTGTAAAACCCTCACCAGTGGATAAGGGCAGTGTCATCTGGAGAGAAACCCTCAGGAAAGCCTTGAGAGAGACCAAAGAAAAGGAGATGAGAATGAGAGTAAAAGGGAGCAAAGAAGAGTCCATGAAATACCCAAGAGACCGAGAAGGGGGACATCCTGTATATGTCAATCTAAACCAGTGGTTCTCAACCTATGTAACCTCAGGATCCACATTTGTCCCTAGTTATTAGGTGGTGACCCAAGTCGCACTGCAATGAACACACAGCATTAGGGTACCGCGTAGGTGTATCAACTGTGGGTGGGAGGTGCATTAGGGGTACCATTCAAATAAATGGCAACGCAACACACCTCCCTGTCAGGATCCAGACTGCCTCCAGGTGGCGCTGGAGCTAGCCCTGCACTTCCAGTGCTCACCTGCGGGTGTCTCCCAGCACTTAGCCATCACCTGGTGCTTCCTGGGAGGGTATTTAAACCCTCCCTGCAGTCAGGACGAGGGCTCAGTGTTGTTTCCTGTTTGTCCTGAACCCTGAATCCTGTTTTGAACCTTGTTACCTGTTAGTCCTGAATCCTGTTTTCAACCTTGTTACCTGTGAGTCCTGAATCCTGTTTTCAACCTTGTTACCTGTGAGTCCTGTTTTTGAACCTTGATACCTGTGAGTCCTGAACCCTGTTTGTAGTCCTGTTTCATGTGTCTTTTGTTTGCTGTCCTGAGCCTTGTTGTTGGTTGTGGCTATTGGTCTAGGGTGTATATTAAACAAACTATACATATCTAACATCCTTGCCTGGTCCGTGTAACATACATTCTGCCTTGTCCTGTGTGGTCACACGTGTTTGGTCTGCCTGTGTGGGTACCTACGCAGGTGTGGGGTCACCTGTGCCGGTATCCCTGACACTCCCACCCCAGAATGCACAGTAGGTGCGATTGCGTTGTACAGTGCATTAATTGCACAGTACTATGCAATTAACGCACTGTACTAGTGTAAATGGGTCCTCAAAAACAATGACATGCATACACAACCACAGACACAATCTCACACACATACACACTCCAAAAATGTTTTTATTTTTATTTAAGGTGCACCCAGTCTCCCTACCTTACAAGAACTGGAGTGGATCCTCATCCTGTTGTCCAGTGTGGGCTTCTGTGCTGAGACTGAGCTCCATCCATATGTGCATGGTTTGCACAGCTCCACTGCACGCCCTGTAGAGGTGATGGGAGCCAGAATGTGACCGGACACGTGAGAGAGCTGTAAGCAATGCATCTATGGATGGAGCTCCTCACAGCCATACCCCCAGCCTACTCCACCTCAAGCTGACACTTGGCGTTGGGCAGCATATTTTGAATGGCCGCTCAGCATGAGAACTGACAGTGCTTTGCTAGGGGGAGGCTGAGGAGCCTCTCACCTAGAAAAGTGAAAGGCATGCAGCAACCCACTGAACACTTTTAGGACACGACCCACCAGTTGAGAACTTAGGATCTAAACCATAAGTGGTGTAAGTACCTATACATATCTGGACTATTGGGTTGGTCATGTTTTGACAAGCATCACATACTTTGACTGAGCGCTGTTTACCTAAGCTGTATCATATATTTTGCCCCACATGGACGTGTACAAGATTATATGGCTGCTGGCTTGGACTACAATGCCACTAGAACTTTCTCCTACTTGAAAGAAGAGGTAAACAAATATTTACTTAGACAGCAGGGTCCAGGGAATCTTCCCAACCATTTTTCCCACTAACCAAACTTATTAGTTGGAAAAGGTATTGAGGAGACTGGTGGCACAGGATTGACAATAACATAATTAGCAGAATATCATAGAACACAAGCGGATTTTGCGGGGTTCCGTAGTAAGGATATTACTGACCTAATTTACTACAAATAAAGAATTTAAGGATACATTTG